TTAAATTAAAATTAACTATTAAAATTAATAATTTATTTTATTCACGCCAGGCCGGCTTGCTGGAAAAGCCAACTTTTTAGAGCACGCTGGAAGGACTGGAGGTCGGGAATTATGCGAAGCTCCAGGGGCAGCTCATTCCAAAGGGAAAGCGGTCCCACAGAGAAGGCTCTATCCCTGGGGTTCACCAGCTGACACTGCCTGGCCGACGGCATCTCTGTGGGATCGCACTGGATGGCTCCAGAGCACCTTGACTCCAGAACAGGCTCCTCCTGTTCCTCTGCCTCACTGATGTCCGACTCTGGAGGCTCCAAAGGCAGCACATGTCCCAGATGGCCCTGGCCCCCTCTCTGCCTCCAATGCAGAGCCCTCATTCAAGCCTTCCCCAGACTCTAGGACTGGGCCATGTTCCTCCCCAGTCCAATTCTGCTGCCAGCTCCGCGGACCATAACACTCAGTGGCATACTTCATATGCACTTAACGATCTGAACATTCGATTAGCAGATGCATTGAGTAAAGGAGGGGGATCATGTTCACTTAACTTGATCCAATTAACTAATCCTCAGGTTACAAATGTAATTGGCAGGCTCTATTACATTCATAACTTGAGGATTATCTGCACAACATTATCTTGGTTACACAGGCAGGAAATACAGCTGTTTGCATGAAAATAGATAAAAGCAGAAATTGCTACAATGTTGTTGCTCACCAAGTATATTTAGAAAGAAGTACCAGTATATTTAGCAATCCTATTGCACCGTTTCTGGTTTGCTGTCATGCCTGCCCTAAGATAACAAGTAACATGCTATTACAATTCATTTATTTCCTTCAATTTTAAATGCAAGAATCTTGATCATCACAATCCTGTTCTACAGACAAGACAAAAAAAACAAGACTAGAACAGTTAATTCGACTTTATTATAAGGCTTTATTAACATAATTTTGCAAGTCTGAAGGTAGAAACTTCCTGCTGCCAATATTTATTGCTTGATCAAGTAGGGCAGATCCTTTTAAAAGTTTCTTTCTCTGACTTCCAAGCCACAGGGGGCGCCTTTCTTTGTTATCTGATTGATACCTTTAATGGTTTCATATCAGTGGATTCTTTTACAGGAATTAAGGACACTTCAACCCCAAAAGGCAACTCCCCGACTTCCCTTTATTTATTTTTATTTAGTTATTGATTTGCATCCCAACTTCATTATTTTTAGATAGCAGAAGGCATTACTCGCACCTAATACACCTCCCTCTTCTTATTTTCCCACAAGAGCCTGTGAGGTGATTTGGGCTGAGAGTGAATGGCCCAAGACCACTCAGCTGGCTTTCATGCCTAGGATAGAACTAGAACACACAATCACCTGCTTTCTAACCTGGTGCCTGTTTTGGGGGGCTAAGTTGCTTGCTCCACCTGAAGTTCTTTCCACACATCGTGCATTTATATTTTTCCCACTCTGGTTCCTGTTATGAGAAGTAGTCTGTTTTGTCTCATTGTCATCTGCTAAAAACCTGAGATACCAAAACTGCACGCAATGAACTATTTGTTCACTGAAAAACTGGCATTTGCTTAAGCACAAATTCTATTAAGGACTACAGTGATTCACTTAATGACCACTGCAAAAAGTTGTAAAATCAGGTTGACACATGACTCATTCACATTATGACTGTGATGGGCCGACTCCATTATGGTTGTAATTCAAGAATTATCTCTAGTTGCTTCTCTGTGTGAACCCTTTTACCGCAAGTAATGTGACTACTTTTCCTGAAATTCTTCCTCTACTCCATGCATTGATAGGGTTTCTCTCCTGTATGGATCTTTTTATGAAAATTAAGTGAACTTTTATTACGAAAATTATTTCCACATTCCATGCATTTATAGGGGGTCTCTCCTGTATGGATCCTCTTATGACAAGTAAGGGAACTGTTATGACTAAAAGTCTTCCCACATTGAACACACTGAAATGGTTTCTCTCCTGTGTGAATCTTTTTATGGGAACTAAGGCTACTGGTTGTGCTGAAGTTCTTCCCACATTCTATGCATTGATAGGGTTTCTCCCCTGTGTGAACTCTTTTATGGTTAGTACAATCACGTCTTGTGGTGAAGTTCTTCCCACATTCTATGCATTGATAAGGTTTCTCTCCTGTGTGAAACTTTTTATGGAAACTGAGATACCTGCTTGTCCTGAACTTCTTCCCACATTCTATGCATTGATAGGGTTTCTCTCCTGTGTGGACCCTTTTATGGGAATTACGATCACTTCTTGTGCTGAAGCTCTTCCCACATTCTATGCATTGATAGGGTTTCTCTCCCGTGTGAACCCTTTTATGGGAAGTACAATCACGTCTTGTCCTGAAGTTCTTCCCACATTCTATGCAGTGATAGGGTTTCTCTCCTGTGTGAACCCTTTTATGGGAATTGAGATCACCACTTGTCCTGAACGTCTTCCCACATTCTATGCATTGATAGGGTTTCTCCCCTGTGTGAACCCTTTTATGGGAATTAAGATCACCGCTTCTCCTGAAGTTCTTCCCACAATCTATGCATTGATAGGGTTTCTTTCCTGTGTGGATACTTTTATGGGAACTAAGGTTACTGCTTCTGCTGAAGTTCTTCCCACATTCTAAGCATTGATAGGGTTTCTCTCCTGTGTGAACCCTTTTATGGGAATGGAGATCACCACTTGTCCTGAAGTTCTTCCCACATTCTATGCATTGATAGGGTTTCTCTCCTGTGTGAACCCTTTTATGGGAATTAAGATCACTGCTTGTCCTGAAGTTCTTCCCACATTCTATGCATTGATAGGATTTCTTTCCCGTGTAGATACTTTTATGAGGAATAAAGCAACTCTTCATACTGAAGCTTTTTCCACAGTCTACGCACATATAAGGCTTTTCTCCTGAATGGATCATTTTATCGGTAGTTAAATTATTAGTCCGTCTAAAGCTCTTTCCACAGTTCACACATTTATATAGCTTCTCCACTGCATGGACCACTCTACTGGATAAAATATTATTACTACTGAAGCTCTTTTCAATTTTGAGGTTATTGCTACTTGTATGAAAATGTCCTGTGCTGCTTCCTTTAGAATTATGTTGGATCAGGAAGTGATCTGTTTCTGCACATTTGAGAATGGATGTTTCTTTCCAATTGCAAGATTGGTTTTTCTCATATCTTCTTCTTCTCCACTTATTTGGGCTTTTCTCTTCTGGTTTGTCAACATTGATAATTTGTGGTGGCACTATACTGCGCTTTGGGCAATTGTCATTCTTCTGCTCATCAACTCCTTGAGGAGGAAGAAAAAGAAATCAGAAATTTGATCACATATAGTTTACTATCCCTATGCCAGTCCCTAGCCCAGTGATGGCGAACCTCTTTCTTATGGCGTGCCAAAATTGTCTGCGTGTGCTATTGCACGTGTCCACACCAGTTCATTCCTCCCCGCCCACCTGCGTGTGCCCCCCGCATGCGCGCATGACCCCGCTCCAGGCTCTGGAGGCTTTCCTGAAGCCTGGGGAGGGCAAAAACAGCCTCCCCCAGGCCTCCAGAGCCCCTCCAAATCCCTTCAGGAAAGCCTCTGGAGGCTGAGGATGGCGAAAAACTTTTAGTAGCTTGCAACTCTTTTAAATTAATATAGGTAAATGATGGCATGAGGGGAAAACCTGTCCTAGTGGCTAGCTGTTTTGGCATACAATATCAATGTCCCATGGGAGCAAATTGAAACTATATACCGTGTTTCCCCAAAAATACGACCTGTCCTGAAACTAATGCCTTTCCACATTTTTTGCGTGGGCAAAAATATAAGCCCACCCCCAAAAATAAGCCCCCTGGACAACCCCTCCCCGCCAGGCAGAGCACTGCTCATTGACCTAGCGGTATCCCGAAAGCGCCAGGTTGTGGGAGCCGGGAGGGGGGGAAAGGCTCTCACGTTGCTTGGTGCCTTCGGGATACCGCTAGGTTGGAGAGTGGCGTTCTGCCTGGCTGGAGGGGGGAGTTGCCAGACAGCTGCTCCCTTGTGAGTGGGCTCCCGAAGAGCCGGGCACAGCCTCAGGGGCAAAGCAGCTTGGCACATCAGGGATACACCCTAGGTCAGTGCATGGAGTTCTGCCCGGCTGGAGAGGGGGGTTGCATGAGTGCCTGTTCCACCCCAGCAAGCATGCCTCCCAGCTTCACCATGCCCTGGCCCAGCTCTCCCTGCAGCTCAGTACTGACACAGAGCCCAAGCAGCATCTCAAGACAGCGTATCAATCCTTTCAAGACCCCTATCAGGCCAATTCTAAATGAAACTGTAGTACTTGGAACACTGTGGAGAACTGGAATTAATATAAGATAAAAAGATGAAAGATAAGAAATCACTTTAACAAGATCTGCACAGATCTCCGAAGCTGTAAATAAGCTGTCTATTGACTCCTCAATCCTCAATTTTTTTCTCCAGAGGAATCCTTACCTAAAGAGGCCAGAATGCTAGACATTTCCAACAGGATTTCTTGGTGCAGGGCTTTTTGGCTGGGATCCAGCAGCAACCACTCTTCACTGGTGAAATCAACGGACACCTCCTCGAAGGACACAGGACCCTGAACAAGGAAGAATCGCGGTGATCAGACTTGACAGAATGAAGGCAAATATATGTGTCCCGGGATAATGTTGCAGGATCCAATTCGAGTCAGTCACTGGAACCAGAATTTATTCTTCCAAACTCTAGAACTCATGTTGGAGCCCATCCTCAGAGAACATCTCACTCTACAGAATATGTGCACTGGACTGTTCTATGCGATATCCAATGCACATGTTCTGAAGAGAGAAAAGTACCCTGAAGATGGGCTCCAGCACAAGTCTGAAAGCTTGGGGAAATGAACCTCTGGTCCCAGTGATTGACGCAGATTGGATCCTGTAGACCAGAGGTGTCAAACTCAAGACCCGCAGGCCACATCCAGCCCGCGATGTGGCTACAGCCAGCCAGAGAGGTTGCCTTTGAGACACGCAAAGGATTGGCGTCCGGTGCCTCTGGTGCTAATCTATAACTTGATAGCTGCCATCCGGGCCAGAACACGGTCAGCCTTAGATCTGCAGGGCACCCCTGGAGCTGGCAAGGAACTGTCCTGCTGTCTCTCCCAGTCCCCTGGGCACTTACCGCCTCCTGTGGGGGCAGGGCTGAAGCTGGCTCCAGCTCCAGGGCTGCCCTATAGCTCTAAGGTGTTCCAGACTGGATGGCAGCCATCGAGGAGTGGGTTCCGTCATTCACTATTGCCGGTTTGTTTGTGGACACTCTGCATGCATGCGCTTGATGCACGCAATGTGCACATGTGCAGAGCAATAAAAATTGCTCTCCGCATGTGCAGAAGCAAAAAACAAGATGGTGGCGCCTACAGTGCTGCCAGGAGAACCGGTTTGGAGGCATGGCAGGTTTGAGTCGCTGTCGGTTCCAGGAATCCAGGCCGCCAAACTACTACCAGTTCATCTAAATCAGTCCGAACCGGTAGGAACCCATCACTACTGCCATCCAATTATAGATCAGCGTTGCACCCACCACGAGCACCTCCATGGCCTGCTTGCTGGTCCAGCCTTGCAGCCTGTGTGGCTTTCCCTTTCACTGGGACTGCCCCCGGCCCGTGTGGGAAAGCCACAGCCACTGTAAGCACAACCACCGGCAGCTCTGCCAAACCCTCTGGAACCAGATGGGAATGAGAAAGAGGGAATCAGGGAAGGAAGGAGAAAAAAGTGAGTACTTTTTGTGGGGAGGCAGCAAAAGAAGCAGCATTTCTTGGCTGGAAAGTGGCCAGAGGCAGACAGGGAAAGTCAACATCAGACCCTGCAAACCAAGGAAAGTTCCTACCGCTCACTGGGAAGGAAGGAAGAAAAAGGGAAACTGAAAGCTTAAATCTCCGACTCTGACATCACTCCAGCCAGCCCTTGATCTCTCCCGCTCTGGCTTCAATTGCTTGCCTCCTTTAGTTCAGAAGCATCCATGTGGGAAAGAAGGAGGGTGGGGTTTCCCTGAGAAGCTTCAGATTCGGGTTTTCCCAGATGTGCCAACATGGCTCTCTTAAAAAGGAACATGGCTGCAGGCCTGACACTGAGTTAAAGTTGCAAGGTTTTTCTTCCTCTTTCCCCTTGCTTCACGGGGCAGCTCTCCAGTTCTGGGAGCGTCTTTTCTTGGCTGGGGGCTTTTTCCTTCAGAAGAAAAGGTGGTAGGAGTGGAGGCGGCAGTGGCTCAGGCTTGTAAGGGTCCTTTCTCTGGCTTTGGATTCGTCCCCGGTGTGTGTGTGTGTGTATACCCCCCTCTTCTCCCTTCCTCTGATTTCTTTTTTCCTTGGAAACAAAGGAAGTGTGTGGAGGAGGGTGGGGTTGTCCCAAAAAGTAAGACTCCAAAAGTTAACAGAACAGTTTTTGAAATCCTTAAAAAGGTTACAATGCCGACCCTGGGCCAGCAGTTTCTCTTTTTCTTTTGGGGAAAAAAAGCAGCAGGTATCAGAGCGGGAATCCCCGGCTCTTAATAAGGGTCACATTTAAAAGCTGGGGGAGAAGGGAAGTCGTCTTCTCCCCCAGAAAAGGGAAGGAAGGAGAAAACGGAAGGAAGGGGATGGGAAGGAGAGAAAAAGGAAGGGGGCAGGGAGGGAGGAAGGAGATGAGAATAAAAAGGAGAGAAGGGGAGGGGAAGAAGGGAGGGAGGAGATGGGAATGAAGGAGGAAGGGGAGAAGGGAAGAAGGAGATAGGAATAAGGAGAGGAGGAGAAAGAGGGAGGGAGGAAATGGGAATAAAAAGGAGAGAAGGAGGAAGGTGAGGGGAAGGTGAGAGGAAGGAAGGAGATAGGAATGAGGAGGAAGGGGAGGGGAAGGAGGGAAGATGTGAATAGAGAGAAGGAGAAAAGGGAGGAGAAGAAGGAAGGGGATGGGAATGAGAAGAAGGAAGTGGAGGGGAAGGGGGAGGAAGAAGAGGGGAATAAAAAGGAGAGAAGAAGGAAGGGGAGGGGATGGAGGGAGGAGATGGGAATAAAAAGGAGAGAAGGACGAAGGAAAAGGGAAGGAGGGAGGGAGGAAGGAGATGGGAATAAGGAGAGGAGAAAGAGGAAAGGAGGGAGGGAGATGGGAATGAGATAGAGGGAGGGAAGCTGACCATGCCAATCCCCCTGGCCACACCCACCATGCCCACCCAAGGTCAACCGCAACCCTGATGCAGCCCTCAATGAAATCGAGTTTGACACCCTTGTTGTAGACTCAATCGAATTTGCAAGATCTCCTTTAATTTGCAAAACCTAAAAACAGAGTTATAACTATTAAGTGGGCATTTCCCCAGCTGAACTCAACGTGATATGTGATAAAATCATCCTGTTGTCTCAAGGAGTGGTTACATATACTGAGACCACAAATGGAAACGGGAGGACTCTCATTGATCCCCCACATTAACCCCTGATCTTTTACTTCCTACCTGAGCTAGAGGTCCAGTCGCTTTTTCAGCTCCACCAGTAGAAGAAGATGACCCAGTGAGCAACGGTGACTCCATTTTGTTACCTGGGAAGGAGAAAGACAAGATGGGAGGAAGGAAAGGACTAATAACTGCATCAAGAATTACGTATGCACAAAACTGGAAAAATAAAAATACACCAACAGAAGAAAACGTGATAAAAAAAGTATTAGAATGCACTGAAATGTACAGACTTACAAAAGAAATAAAAGATAAAGAAAAATCTGAGTATTACTTAGTATGGAATTTATGGTACAAATGGCTGGAAGAAAGAGGCAAATTATAAGAAAGCAGAGGAATGCCGTTGATATAATTTACTTGGACTTCAGTAAGGCATTTGATAAGGTAGACCATAACCTACTACTAGGTTCAGTAGGCATTTGATAGGGTAGACCATAACCTACTACTAGATAAAGTAGAAGAATGTGGGTTGAACAGCATCACCACCAGATGGATTTGTAACTGGCTGACCAACCGCACTCAACGTATAGTCCTCAATGGA